TAGGAAGATCTTTACATCGTGAAAGGTGCTTTACAACAGGCACTGCCAAACGATCTTAACAGCCGCTTTCCTCAGTTCCGTTGAGTCCGTGAAAAGTGTGTTTGTGCTGCTTGGCTGTGGAATGTCCCCAGTGGCCTGTGCCGCCAATTGGGTGAAACGGCGCGCATTGATTGGCTTCGAGCCTATGTACGCCCCAAGCAGTTTCGAAAGGAGACCCTAGGACGGGCAGGACATGTCGGGCATCTAGCACCGGCTAGCAGCGCATGAGAAAACCGTCTGATCAAGCGCGGGCGCCGAAAGCTTGACAAGCGAAGCCAGGATAATTCAGCGCGGCAGTAATGAGTGCGAGCTACCATAGGTTCACCTAAGCCCACAGCAGGCATTGGGAATTAGGATAGGTTTATCTTTTAGTCCAAAGTAAGGGAACCCAGGGCACCCATTTTTGGCTGAATCAACCTCTTCAGCTCACCACATACCTTACCCGCAGAGCTAAAGGACTAGCGATTTGAAGTCGAACTAGCTTTGTCGTCGAGGTGATTGCTCTGATGATGCTGACGACGATGACGACTGGTACGTTGCAGCTGGCAAAGACTATTTCCTGTCCTGGTGACAGGAAGATCTAAGAAATGAACCTGGGGCCAGTCGGCTGTTGAGCCACGGTCTCACGCTCTGAGGACTGTGATCAGGACTATTCAGAAGCATGTGGCGGCGGGACGGGGGGGGAGATAAAACCGATATGATCTGACTTCGAAAAGAAGTATGGCCTTCCATTTGTTTTGGTTTTTCGACGAGCAACCACCGCTAATTGCTGCTTTCTCCTGAGAAATTCACTGACTGGCATTGGAATCGCAAGTTCTGCGTTGGAAGAGGGGCTAGGCGGGCTACTGAAAAGCGCTCAGAGACCGGACAGATCCCGTCTTGCAAGCAGATCAACTCGGCCGACCCCCCTTACCCTGCGTGACTTGGGCAGTCCTGTACGAAGGAGAGAAGTCTGCCTGCCATTCCACACTGTCCGTTTCATTATTATTCGGTCGGTCTGCGAGCACGCGTCCATGCGTGCGCGGGTCAATGGATAAGGCCTTACCGACAGTTTGTCCAATTAATAAACCTCCTCC